CATCGAGGAGCTCTTCAGCATCATCCGAGGTCAGCCGCCCCGTCGCCCCTGAGGGTGGTGAGGGCACCTGGGCTGCATTGTCCGGAGCAGAGCTGTCCCCCTGCGGGCCCCCCCACCCCCCGCGGCTCCCCGCTCCAGGGTGGACTCCCCAGCCAAGTGTTGGGGTTGGGTGGGGGACTGTGCCTCTGGTGGCCACCCCTGCCTCCGTGGCCTCACAGCCCTGCTCGGGCCCAGCTCTCCAGTGCCCCGGCGGTCTGCCCTGCAGGGCAGCTGCAGTCAGACCTGTGGGCACATGAAGGGTAGCGTAGCGTCCAGTGGGTGTTCCTCGTCTCAGGCGTGGGCATGGCTGCTCACCCTCCAGGCCCCGCCGCCTGCGTGTGCGTCTGTGTGTGGGTGCGAGGGCCGGCCTCTCCCTGCAGACTTCCCCGACTCCCGGCCGGCCGTGGAGGACCTCAAGTACTGCCTGGAGAGGACTGACCAGCGGCAGCAGCTGCTCGTGTCCCTCAAGGCCGCCCTGGAGACGCGGCTTCTCCACCCAGGTACGGGCTGACCCCCCATTGATCTCCAGGCCCAGAACCGGAGGCGGAGAGTCCAGTCTCCCAGCCACCTGCAGGCCCTGGGGGAGGTGGGTAAGGAGTAGTTTTGGGGGGCCCTTGGGGGTATTGGCCTGGTGGTGGGGTGCCCAAGTCCCCGGCACAGACTGCTTGCTGGGGGGGGCGTGTGTGTGGCTCAGATCCGGGCGTGCAGTCGCCTGGCCCTGCAGATGCCCTGGCTGGCCGGGGCCACCCTGGTGCTGCCCTCACCTCAGCCTCCTGTCCCGGCTGCAGGTGTCAACACGTGTGACATCATCACCCTCTACATATCAGCCATCAAGGCGCTGCGCGTGCTGGACCCCTCCATGGTCATCCTGGAGGTGGCCTGCGAGCCTGTCCGCCGCTACCTGAGGTGAGTGCTGGGGCTCCCCCTGCTCCTCCCCTGCAACCCAGCTCCTGGGGGCCCTGCTGCTCAGGGACACCGGCCCCGCCCCACCCCGGTTCCAGCAGAGAGGTGCCGCCTCTGACCGGCGGAGCCAGGCCCCAGTGGGGGGCAGACTCAGGAGGGGCCTGAGCGGGGCTGTGCCGGGACTGCGGTGCCTGCGGCCGCCCTGACTTGCACCTGCAGCCTCCGGCCTGGAAGGGCTGGCCCTGGTCACCTGGTCGTCTCACTCCTGCCGCTCCCACAGTCGTTTGTTTTACTTCATCTTGTTTTATTTTTTTGAGCAAAAGCCTAATGCTTGTCTCTGACCTGCGGGCGGGACTGGCTGTGGGGAGGGAGTGAGCAGCGTGGGGTCAGGTGGAGGGTGAGGATCCTGAGGCCCCTGCGCCCCGCAGGACGCG